TTAATATAAAATTCTGAAAAAATTCTCAGAGCTCTATGAGAACAAAATATACAATTTTTATCTCTTCATATTTTCCGCTAAAGTTGATAGAATTCAAGTAAAAAATTATTGAAACTAATAATCTTGTAGACATTTACGTAAATATCTTAGAAAATAGATGTCGTATAAAAAATTTTTTCAAGCAAAAGTTTGCGTTTTTACGTTGAATAAAATGCCGTAATAAAAAATGTGTTTCTATTTAAAAAAAAAGTTGACCTTGTTCTGATCTTGGCGACGCCATCCTATGTCAAATAACTACTATCGTTGAATGCGTTTTTTTAAGCCTTACAACTTTTGTCTGAAACATTTTTCTCTAAAATGTTTCCCCGCCGAGTTATCTTGCCGTTCCGGTACTTTTGCTATACCCTGTATAATAAATAGACAGTTGGGGAGGAAAGGGGGAAAAATAGTAGCATTTTTCATTGATTTGAAGGCAGTTTTTGATTCGGTAGAGAGGGCAAGGTTGATAGAAGCGATGAGGGAGAGGGAAGTGAGGGAGGGTTTAATGGTAAAGATGGAGGAATTGATGATGGAGACGAGAAGTAGGGTGAGGATGGGGAAGAAGATAGGGGGAAGATATTGGACGAGTAGGGGGTTGAGGCAGTGGTGTCCGTTGAGTCCGGTGTTATTCAACATTTTGTTAACGGATTTAGAGGGGATAATGAAAAAGGAAGGCTGGGAAGGAGTGAGAATAGGAGGAGAGAAATACTACACACTGGCATATACGAATAATGTGGTACTGTTGGCGGAGGAGGAAGGAGATATGAGGGCGATGATAGAGAGAGTGGAGGGGTACTTGGATAGGAAGGGTTAGAATTGAATGCGGGCAAGTCGAAGATTATGAAGTTCAGGAAAGAGGAGGAGGGAGAGAAAAGGTATGACTGGAGATGGAAGGAAAAGTAATTGGAGGAGGTGAAGGAGTTTAGATATTTAGGATATGTTTTGAAGAGGAATGGAGGACAGAAAGCGCAGGTGAAGGATAGGAGGAGAGCGGTTTGGGGTGGAGAAAGGTTTAGGGAATAGTAAAGAGTATGTGAGAGAGATTGGAAAAGAAGGTTATGGTTCGATAGATTAGTGTAGATAGGTATTGTTCGATAGATTAGAGTAGATAGGTATTGTTCGATAGATTAGTGTATATAGTGATAGGGTATGGAGCGGAGATTTGGGGATGGAGAGAGAGGGAGGAGTTGGAGAAAATTCAAGAAAGGTTTGTGAAGTGGACAATGGGAGTGGAGAGAAGAACGCCGAGATATATGATAAAGAAGGAGGTGGGAAGGGAAAAGATGAGAGGGAGGGCAGGGAAGAGGGCTTGGGACTTCGAGAGGAGACAGGAGGAAGGAAAAGGAGTGGTAATGGTAAGATGTTGGGAGGAAATGTGGCAGAGGTGGAAAAAAGGCACGATCGTGGGGACTGGGAAAAAGAAAGGAAATTATTTATAGAAGAGAGAGGATGGAAGGTAAGGAAAGAGGAGAAAGGATACGAGGAGTTGGAGGAGAGAGAGAGAGAGAGAGAGAGAGAGAGAGAGAGAGAGAAAGAGAGAGATGCAAAAGAAAGAGAAATGGAAAAAGATTAGGAAATCAAGGAGTAATAAATAGTTAAAGTTTGTGAAAGGAGAAGGGATAGCCGAATATTTAGAGAAGGGATGGGCAGAAGAAAAGTGGAGGAGAGTAATCAGGTTTAGAATGGGGAATGAAATGAGGGAGAGTTTGTATTGGGAGAGCGAGAAGAGGAAATGTAGGATATGTGAAAGTGAAGAGCTGGGAACATGTGTGGGAGAGATGCCAGGGGGGGTTTGGAGGGGATAAAATGGGGGGAGGAAGGAAAGGGGGAGGAGTGGATGAAAAAGTTGGAGGAGTGGATACGGGCGGAAGGAGGGGTTGAGTGAGTGGTGGGAAAGAGAGAGAGAGAGAGAGAGAGAGAGAGAGAGAGAGAGAGAGAGAGAAAAGGGAGGGAAGGGAAAAAGAAGAAAACGGAGGTCCACGAGATAGGTTAAGTTAGGTTAAGTTAGATATATAAGTTAGATATAAGTTAGATGTAAGATTTAGTTGTAAGATTAGATGTAAGAGATAGGGTATGGAGATGTGTGTGTGTGTGCGTAGCGACGAGAAAGAGTTGTTATGGATATTGTAACCCCATACTGGGGATCAGTAAAGGTTACATACAATCAAATTTATCGAAAAATAGCAAACCACAAAAATTGTTTATTTTCTTCTCGTAGAACTTTGAGAATTTTTTCAGAATGAAAAAAATGAAGAAAATACAAGAAAAAGCAGTACTAAAATATTAATTAGAAATTTTTGAAAAAATTCTTAGAGCTTTATAAAAAAAAAAAAGTAGATAATTTTTATCTCTTGCTATTTTTCGGAGTCAATAGAATTCGAGTAAAAACTTATTCAAATCAATAATTTTATAGATATTTTCCGTAAATATCTTAGAAAATAGAGGTCGTAAACATTTTTTTCAAACAAGTTATTTGTTTTTCTACGTAGAATAAAATTCCGTAATCAAAAATATTTATTCTATTTAAAAAGCAAAGTTGACCTTGACATGACCTTGACGACGCCACCAAAGGTCAAACCAATGATACTTTCTTATATCCTCCATCGAACCATATAACTTTTATTTGAAGGATTATTTTCTGAAATGTCGCATTTACAAAAAAATTTCGGACTCTGGGTGATTTGGAACACCATACATATACGTTTTCGTATTACATTTTATTATCGTACTAGCACACAGCGCGCACTATGCGCGCGCCTTTCATCTCCTTTCATAATATTTCATTACACTTTAATTACGTCGCGAAAAACACACACAAACCTATAATCTGCATTGTCTCTTCCAGTCTCTCCCTGCCTCTCCTGTCTCTTTCTGTCTCTCCCTGTTTCTCCCTGTCTCTCTCTCTTTCCCCGTTTTTCCCTGTCTTTCCCCTTCTCTCCTTGTCTCGCCCTATCTTTCCTTGTCTTTCTCTGTCTCTCCCCGTCTTTCTCTGTTTCTCCCTGTCTCTCCCTGTCTTTTCCCGTCTATTCCCGTCTTTTCCTGTCTCTCCCTTTCTCCGTCTCTTCCTGTCTCACCCTGTCTCTCCCTGCCTCACCCTGCCACTGCCTGTCTCTCCCCATATCTTCCTGTCCTCCCTGCCTGTCCTTGGCCCTCCTATCTCTCTCTGTCTCTCCTCGTACCTTCTTGTCTCTCCCTGCCTTACCTGTCTCTTCCTGTCTCTCCTTATCTTTTCCCGTTTCTCCCTGTCCCTTCCTCTTTCCCTGTCTCTCCCTGTCTCCCCCTCTCTTCCTGTCTGCCCCTGCCTCTTCTACCTCTCCTGTCCCTCCATGTCTCTCCCTGTCTCTCTCTGTCTCTTCCTGCCTCTCCCCATCTCTTCCTGTCTCTCCCTATAATCTGCATTGCCCCTCCCTGTTTCTTCCTGCCTCTTCTGTCTCTTCCTATCTCTCCCTGTCTCTCCTAGCCCCCCCCTTCTCTCTCTCCCTCCCTCCCGCCCTCCCTCTTCCCCTCTCCCTCTCTCTGTCTTTCCCTGTCGTTTTCTGTCTTTTCCCGTCTCTCCTTGTCGTTCCCTGTCTCTCCCCGTCTCTTCCCGTTCCTTTCTGTCTGTCCTTGTCTCTTCCTGTCTTTCCCCGTCTACCCCTGTGTCTGTCTCTCCTCGTTCCTTCCCGTCTCTCCCTGTCTCTCCCTGTCTCTCCCTGTCTCTTCCTGTCTCTTTCCGTCTCTCCCTGTAATCTGCATTATCTCTCCCTGTCTCTCCCTGCCTCTCCTGTCCCTCCTTGTCTCCCCCTGTCTCTCTCTATCTCTTTCTGTCTTTCCTTGTCTTTCCCCGTCTCTCCCTGTCTCTCCTTATCTCTCCCTGTCTTTCCCCATCTCTGCCTGTCTCTCCCTGTCTTTTCCTGGCTCTTCCCATCTCTCCCCGTCTCTCCCTGCCTCTCCTATCTTTTCCTGTCTCTCACACACAAATCTGTAATCTGCATTCACATTCGAGTACAACCATGGACGTATTATACATGGACTCCGCATACGGCCAGAAAAGTGGAGCCAACATGTAGAAAGAGAGAGAGTTAGCCAAATGTATAGATACACCTGAATAAATCTTCAGGATAAGATTTTCGGAAAAAGTGACCTGAACAAAAATTGCTCGAGCCTAAAACCTTGGCCTCAGTCTTCAAAGTTATTTGGAGGTCAACTTTGCTTTTTTAAATAGAAAAATGTATTTCTTATTAAAAATATATTTTATTACGGAATTTTATTCTACATAAAAAAACAAATAACTTTTGTTTGAAGAACTTTTTTATACGATCTCTATTTTCTAAGATAATGGGTCCATGTATTTATATACAAAATTCTTGCTGCAAACATTACAGAATTTCTGTATTCAACAGAAGATGAAGAAGCTAGCAAGAACAGACATAAGAAATGGTACATTTAATGTACTTTTTTAAAAATTGCCTAAATATTTTGGTCATCATCCCGATCCTCTCGATTGGGAAAAATTCTAAAAAGCAATGCATAAGAATTATTTGATTATGAATTTATCATAATCATATAAAATACTGAAATCTAAGACGACAGACATTCCATCGAGATCGACACGAGACTAACTATAAATGAAGATTTTCGGCAGAGGCTCTGAAAATAGTCAAATAATTCCTGTACATCATTTTCCAGTATTTTTTCTATTCAAAGAAGTCGGAGTGACAATCGAAACGTTTATATAATTCTTAGAGTGTCCGTTTGATGCCTTCTTATTTTATTTATTGATTGAATGAGTTTCTTAATTTAAAGCTTGCGTCGATTCTTATTGGCTTTCCTTGTAATTACACATTTAAAAACTTTGATAACTTATTTATTTAAATTTCTTCATGCATTACTTTCATGTGCAGTTCATACTCCTGTTCCGATACGAATTATTTATTGCATCTTGTACACGTGTAAATCGCGTCATTAATATCGATTTTTACCTCGGTTGTCGATGCTGAAATATCTTGTTCTGCATTGGACATCTCAACCTTCTCCAAAAAATTCGGTGCTTCAACATTTTCATTGGCAGAATTCGTATTATGTAAAGTTGTTTTCTGGTGCAATGCCAAGTTATCCTTACTGGTGAAAAGCTTCTTACACTGTGTGCATTCATACTTGACGCCCTTATGAAAGCTCCTAAAGTGTGTGACATTATATAAATTGAAAATTTACACATATTTAAAACATTCAATTTCTATGACTCTATAAAATAGGAAATTTGTGAGTACAAAACGTATACACATTTACAAAATGGTTTCAACACTTTTTCGACGTATTTCAAATCACATTTAACATTTAAATAAAAAATTTGTTTTCATGTAATTTTCAGAAAATAATTTTTTTTGTTGGTTGCATATATTTCCAAATACAACGGAAAAATATTCAAACCATTTGCAAGTGAGTGTATACATAAAATTGTACATGTGTAATGTGAGTGTATACATAAGATTTACAACTATAAGAATCACTATAATATAATTACATGTATAAAAATTATAAAGAGTGTCTCACTCTGGTAAAAATTTTTCTCCCTGGTAAAAATTACACACAGAAACAGACAAAAATGGACAGAATTTCTATCTGTTTTTAACTGTAAACTATCCGTTCTATCTGCAAATACATGCGGATAGAAAATTCGCATTTGCAGCAGTAGATCCTATCTGTTTCTGTCCGTTTCTGTCCACAATATTTATTAGGGCAAACTCTCTTTCGCAATTTTTATGTGAACGTATAACGAATTGAGATGAACATAAAAGTCTCATGCCGTTTTGCAATTTTCACAATAATAGTCGAAATATTAATTAAAGAAATTTAGTGAATGATCACGCGCAATATAATAGATTAGTGTAGTGACGATATGTGTTGTTGTGTGTTTGTATATTAGATCAAATTGGACAAAAAAGCCCGTTTTGCCAATAACCACGTAGACTTTTAGTTATTATAATTAATAAAAGAAAATTGTTATACATAATTGTGCGCGATAATGCACACGTTTTCTTTAATTTATATCTAAAAACCTATTATGGTTATTTACAAAATGGTAAAAGACTTTTTTGTTTGACCTATTGTATAAATATACATTAGATCAGCTTGATTTAACGTATAAATATTTAATAGACAGCGCCACTATAGCTTATCTACCATATCGCGTGTGATCATTGGCCAATTTTCTTTAATTAATATCTTAAAATTTATTGCAAATATCGCAGAACAGTATGAAATTATTATGTTTATCTCAACCCATTGTGTTCCCACAAAAATTACGGAAAAAAGTGACTGTGTGTATGTGTGTGTGTGTGTGTGTGTAAGTTGCTCCAATTTCTTGGTAAGTAAACGATAATTAAATCGTCTATTGGTCTTTGTTTTTCCTTCAATTTAGACAAAGACATGCGATTTACCTAACAATTAATTTACCAAGAGGTTGGGACAACCGGCTCCGTGTGTGCGCGCATGTGCGCATGATAAGAATTACATAAACTATAAGAATTACAGCTATAAAAAGAACTATAAAGAATCAAAAAATCAAAAATTCAAGATCCCAGAAATTGTGGATAGCATTTACAATATCATTTTATATCTGAAATTTTTAATTTCATTTTTCATATTTTAATGGTTAAATGGAATCTTAAAATCATTTCATCTTTTTCATATTTAAAATGATTTTAAATATAAAATTATAGAATACATGCATACGTTATTGCTATGATTTAACAACCTAAATCGAGTTTTCTAAAATATTAAATACAAAAAAAATGATATTACTTGTGTACTATGAATCTGCTGCGTTGTAGGAAACTTCTGCCGCAAAGCTGACAAGTAAACTTGGTTTTTCGTCGATTTAACTTCGACTTTCCTCGTGCTCGTACACGATTCACGACCACCAACTCGCCCAAGTCTGTGCCCTCTTCTGTTTCAAGATGACCAATTACTTCTGCATATTAACATGTAAAATATGAATTAATAATAGTAATATTTATATTTCTTACATTACAATTTTCAAAATATCACGCAAACCTTCCTGACCATCCTGAATAGAAGGATTTAACACTTCTTCAGAATCATTGTGTATTTCAGAATCATCATCTTCTTCGTCAATTACTCCTTCCTCCTTAAAAATTCTTTCTAATTCCTTTCCTTGCACTGCTTCCATAAATCTGCATAAATTCATTAATTATTAACACGCATTAAAACAATAGATATTTCTTTTAATATACCTTTTAGGAACTTTACGTTTTCTTCTGCGTCTTCCATCACGATCTACTTCCTCAATTTCTTCCTGTTTATCTTCCTCACCTTGGCTTGCAGTTTCTATAGGATTTTCTCTTGTTGCCTTTTAACATATGTAAATGAGAAAGTTAATAATACATATATTAGATAATAATTAACATTGCAAATTATTACAAACCAAAGTGTCTGCTTCTGTATGTACTTTGGGTGGACGTCCACGTTTCCTTCTTGGCTTAGTCAAGCCTTCCATTTGTAAACTCATATCATGTTCTGCTGCATACATGGATCCATCTGACATCACTATAATAAAAAATTCCCAAATAATATATAAACTGAGTAAAATGCTATAATTTATTTATCAACAGAAACATATATAGACAAAAAGCTATGTTACCTTTAACAACTATTTGTTGCTCATACTGATCATCTTCATTATGCTGAACTATGCAGTCCACAATTTCTCTTTTATCTTGCAAACGCTCTGCTTTGCATTGCTCCACTTCATGTTTCCACATTTCTCGTAATTTTTGCTGTCCATTTACTAACAACTGTAAAAATTGAACTGTTGCTTCTAGTTGGATGTTACAGCCTGGACAAATTGTTCTTGGTAATTTGCCATCATCTTGAACCTTACAGAAAAATGTATAAAGTAGATATATCATAGAAATATAGTAAAATTATGCAACAATTTTAATAGAGCATACCAATAAACCATTTTAGTTAACAGATATTTGTGATTTCTATATGATTTTTTTTACAAATCTGTGTGTTTGTGTGTGTGTATGTGTGTGTGTTACATATTTTCATATACTTAATTATTTGAAATTCTCTATAATAGTTATATAGGATGTCTCCTCCCTACTGCATTATATCTTAAGGGTGAATTCCTGAGATAATTTGAAGAAAAAAATCCTAATGCAAAAATGTCGAGGCTATAATACTTTTCAAATTATAAATGATTAAAGTTGACCAATTATATTGGCTAAAGTACGCGTGCTCAAGTACAACACATAATGATACAGGTGCATGCACATAAGTGAGAATTTGCATAAGATACAAAATTAGTTGTAAATCCCTGAAAGAAACGTCAAATGTGTGACAGCTTACTGATTCTCATAAATGTATTGTGTGATATTTTATTCATAACATTTTGATGAAATTATTATTTGCGATATGTTTATTTAAATGAAAAGAAAAGGCAGATTATTACATATATTGTTGTATGTATAGAATTTGAGTATCAATATTTGGAAAAGGGACAACATGTGCATATACTTGTACCATTGTGTGTTGTACCATACCTCAGAAATCTATCCTTAAGAGATAATGCAGTAGTGGCGGGATATCCTGTATACTATAATTAGTTGTAACATTAATAGTAATATTTTATGCTTCATTAACATTATTAGTTTTCTTATTATTAGTTTAATTATTATTAGTTTTCTTTAATATATATAAAATACAAAATTAAAAGATACAATATACACAAATTAAAATACAAAATTAAAATATCTACATATTACATAAAACTTTATTTAGGCTATATTCATGATATAGAAAAATGTTAATATATTATATATAAACATGTATTGTATAAAATACAAAAATAATTAGAAGCTTTATCTATTAAAAACAACAGTTTAAAAGGAAGAGCCAACGCACAAACACATCCGTAACATGTTACGTTACGTTAAGTACTGACAATATAATGGCCATACCTGTACGTAAACTTAAACTTAAGTTTAACAACGCATAAAGAAATACCTGTACGTAAACTTAAACTAAAGTTTAACAACGCATAAAGAAATTCGTAAACTTAACATGTTACGGATGTTCTTGTGCGGAAGCTCTAATCGAATAAGTAACATATGAAATGATGAGTATTTGATTAGTGCAGTAACTGTACAGACTAAAAGCCAGCAGAATCAGTAGGAGGAAATCAAGTTGTTGTCTGGTATTCAGCCGGCGTTTTGAAAGAGTGGCAATAGTTTACCTTCAGCGGCAAATATCGATTTATCAGTAAACTCAAGTCCGCTTCGCCAGTCTCATTGACGAACAACAATTCGTTACCATTGTCCGCTGCGCACAAACGACAGATTGTTGAATCGTATAAATGCACAGCTACCATATTCACTAATGCAAAATATCAATCCCGATTACAAAGTGGAAATAAATAAAAAGATGCGTGTATATCACTATGTGATTAACCGTTATATATCAGTATATGAACATTAAATAGTTTGGTTGCAGTCATTTATACTAAAGAGGTTAAGCAACCCTCTCTAGGTCATTCTACTGTTGCGAGACGGAACAATTTACGCATGCGCGGCAATAAAGGCATTGGTTTGTTCTTTTTAGTAGTACTGCTGAACTAGTGCAATAAGTTAAAATGAGACAAATAGATTTTTCTCACTCTAACTTATTGCACTAGTTCAGCAGTGCAGCTAAAAGGAATAGACTATGGCCAGTATTCATATAGCGTTTTTCATTGGCAGAACTAGTGCGCACTGAGTGCACACTAAGGCTTGTTTACAATACATTTTCATATTTAAGATCGTGTCTTAAATACATATTCAAAAATATTTTAGGTAATAAAATGATTCGTACGGATGTTATACATATTATATTACTGGTTAAAAATATTTGAGAATTTATTTAAGACAATCTTTTAATATAATAACATACTGTGAACAAGCCTCAGTGCGCACCAATTCTGCCAATGAAAAACGCTAATAGTCGAAACTTATTTCAAGACCGTCTTAAGTAATGTCTTAAGATGCGAATACGGCTCTGATTGATTCATGATATCTTAAAGCCTGTATCACACTAGCATTGGCGATTGATGATTGACGATTGAAGATTAGATTTTGACGAATCAACGAGCTTCAACCTTGGCTTGCTTTGTTCTAATTGGTCAAGTTCCAATCTTGAATCGTTAATCGTCAATCCTCAATCGCCAATCGCTAGTGTGATACGGGCTTAAGATAATTTTATAGCATGTTCAAATGGCTCTGGATTAATCTATTCTAGGTTATTTAGCCTATGTTTATTGGTCGAACAAGTACTTATAAGCTTTATGATTGGCTAGTAGAGACTTATAACGTCTTTAATCGCTCTCGGAGCGAATAATCAAGGGCCAGTCGAACACGCTATTAAATATAAGATCGGACTATGAATATCGATCCACATGTTTCTTAGATTGCATTCCAAAATGTCTTTTTCGAGGAAATCTTAAGTCACGAACTACAATAGGTGTAGTAAGCTCTAAGCTTTACAAAATTGACCAATCATAGTCGAATTATAGAAAAAAAATCAATCGTGATTTGTTAGTGTTTATTAATTTGTGACTTGTTAATTTCTTAGTGTCGGTCTACATCCTCGCTTTAAGCTTTAAGTCGTAAGCAACTGACCAATCACAATCGCTTATTCTTGAGACGTAAGGAGAATAATTGATTGTGATTGGTCAGTTGCTTAAGGCTTAAAGCTTAAAGCGAGGTGTTGACCGATACTTACCGCTTCAAGCTTACTACACCTATTGGGCGCATTTAGTAGAAAAAGCGCTCAGTGAGCAATCAACGATTATTGGTTCTTGCTATTAGATCCATAAATCTAGACCAATTACATTGGCCGCGTTCAGTAGAACAAGTGATCAGTAAGCGCTCAGGGAGCTCTTGTATATGATTTGGCATATTCTTTTAGATCTCCAACTATACTCCAATCAGATGCAAGAGCTCACTGAGCGCTTACTGATCACTTGTTCTACTGAACGCGGCCATTGACAAATTACTCAACTGTTGTGCAACTGTTGAGTAATTTGTCAATGTAATTGGTCTAGATTTATGGATCTAATAGCAAGAACCAATAATCGTTGATTGCTCACTGAGCGCTTTTTCTACTGAATGCGCCCATTGTAGATCGGTACTAAGGACTTTCATACACAGGCTGCGTTCCGCAAAGCGCATCATACGCATCATGCTGCGCATTACTGTGCGATCGTTCCGCAAATGCATTACGCACATGATGAAGGTTGTTTTCCACCAAAAAATGTAGTATTACAAAAAGCCAATTTATTGGCTACTCACTACTTAGGAGATAAGTCTGACAATATGCAGCATTAAACAATAAAACAATCTTGCGTATTATATATCTTTTGTGGGAAAACTGACCAAAATTAACCTAAAAAGAATGTATAACAACACAGAGTATGGCAGTTCCACAAATAGAAATTTATCATTTTCTTGATATATTTGAAGATAATGATAGTGATAGTGAAAGCATTGTAGAGTTCCTTTTTTCTGATTCAAGCGATGATGAAAATGATGTATTGGTAAATCTAAATGAAATTATTCAAAACGACAGACATGATCAAATCGCAATTCTTAAAGTACATAATTATATTGAAAATGTAGTCAATAATTTAAATGCTGAAGATTTTAAAAGACACTTTAGGTAAGTAAATTAGAAAAATATGTAATGCATTATACATATGAAATAATAAAAGCATAAAGTAAATTATATTTTTTTCAAAGGTTATATCCAACATCGTTTGAAATTATTTTGCAATTAATTGGTGCTACACTTGAAACGAGAAACAATGATATAAGAAATAACCCAATTCCAGCAAAAAAAACAACTATTAATGTCATTATGGTTTATGGCTACTCCTGAAAGTTTTCGGTATGTCTTATAATAATTTCTTAACATTTATTATTATATATAATTATAATAGTAACTTTATAAATTTATAATCATAATAATTAAATATATAATAGAATAATATTTATTTCCAGATCAGTAAGCGATAGATTCGGAGTTGGAAAAGCAACTTGCTTTCGTGCATTGCGTAGAGTTATATCTGCTCTTTTCCAAGTGTCACACCAATTTATTCAGTGGCCGACTGGACAAACAGCTGTTAAAGTAATGAGCGATTTTTATAGAGTAAGTGGGTTATATGGTGTCATTGGAGCCATAGATGGGACTTTAATTGAAATAAATAAACCAAGTGAATATGGTGATGATTATATATGTCATAAAAGATACCCTGCTATTCATCTTCAGGTTAGCAAATATATAACACATACACAGTTATATGCAATATCTTTATCTTTATTATAGTTTATTTTATCATTTTTTTGTAGGCAGTGTGCATTCAACAATTACTATTTACTAGTATACTAGTAGGCCATCCAGGAAGTGTTCACGACGCTCGAGTGCTACGCAACTCAAACATTAATAATTACATTACAACCAGACATTTTTTTCCCAAATGACAGTTATATTGTAGGAGATGCCGCATATCCCCTTCACTTAAATTTAATGGTGCCGTTTAAAAATAATGGTTATCTTAGTAGAGAACAAATAAATTATAATTTGTGTCTGTCAGCAGCTTGTATAGCGATCGAAAGGGCTTTTGGGATATTAAAAACAAGATGGAGAAGAATATTTGACAGATTCTCACTTGTAGATTTAAAGAAAATTCCTGAATATATTGTAGCAACGTGCGTCCTACACAACATTTGTATTTTACACAACGATTTAATAGATGATGTATATAATGCTGACAATCAACCAGATTGTATGTTACAATATATTCAGGAAGATGAAAATATTAATGTAGCTACAGCGAAACGTAATGCTATAATGAATAATTTGCGAATGCGGTTTATTCATGTTGAATGATCAACAATTCTTTTTATTTTGTTTTTAATTTTCTACAATTTAAATAATGAATAAATTTACTTTGAGTTTATTTAAATTTCTTTAATATTTGAAAAAGTAATCAATTATTGCTGGTATATTTGTCTTAATTTAAATAAAGTATAAATTATCTAACAAAAACATATGTTATAAAATTGTACTGTGTACCTTATTTTTAAATAGCATAGCTATATGTGTAATATTAAAAAATATTTTAACTTTATGTATATGTTTCAAAATGTAGATACAATTATCTTTAAATAGAATAAATATATATAATATCAAACAATATAACCAATTTCAGAATAAGTTTGTAAAATATTTTAGTAAGTAAAGCTGTTATCTTTAATAAATAAATTTATATAATAGTTAATGACCAAAGTAACACTTTATGGTTTTCATAAATAATACATAGTATCTTTCTTATACTATTCTTAAGATTACTGGTTTGTCACCGCAATTGTAATATAATTGTATTTGTAACCGCGATTCGTTGCGGGTTTGAATCGCTTGTCGGATCGGGTTCGTGATAGGCGGAATAATTGAGAAACAGTGTGTTAAGAAAATAATAATGAATAATATATTTAAAATACTAAACTGATGATAATGACAATATATATATCGAACAATACGTGTCGACGCCTTTGGCTTTGGTTGTTTGTATCGCCTGACAGAGGTTTGTTTAGACGCGGATTTGGTGATGTGACGCGCGGTGCGCGGGGCGCGGACGACGTCAGTGTCGCGTCTTCGCGAGTCTATGCTGTTGACGTTTCTTTCGGCGTCGTGTCTCTTAAGTGCGGTGGACACTT